AGCACCACCCAGGGGTGCTCATCCCCCCTGGATCTGCATCCCAAACCCACCCCAAAGTGATGCTGGGTCATCCCTCCTGTGTCTCCATCCCAAACCCACCCCAGCATCACCCAGGGGTGCTCATCCCTTCTGGATCCCCACCCCAGCACTACCCAGGGGTCTTTATCCCCTCTGGATCTGCATCCCAAACTCACCCCAGCATCACCCAGGGGTGCTCATCCTCCCTGGATCTGCATCCCAAACCCACCCCAGCACCACCCAGGGGTGCTCATCCCCTCTGGATCTCCATCCTAAATCCACCCCAAAGTGATGCTGGGTCATCCCCTCTGGATCTCCATCCCAAACCCACCCCAGCACCACCCAGGGGTGCTCATCCTCCCTGGATCTCCATCCCAAACCCACCCCAGCACCACCCAGGGGTGCTCACCCCCTCCAGATCTCCATCTCTCCACTCAACCCCTGAGGTTCTGCTGGACCCAAACCACCTCAGGCAGCACCCAGGGGTGCTCAACCCTCCCGCAGCCCCCCGGCCATGGCACCCCGCGGGTCGCTGCTGCTGCTGGCGCTGCTGCTGCTGAGCTGCGCCCTGCCCCGCGCCCGCGGCCAGCACTGGTCCCACGGCTGGTACCCGGGGGGCAAGCGGGACCTGCGGACCCCCGCCAACCTCCAGGTAGGGTGTCCCCCGCGGGTCACCCCCTCCAGGTCATCCCCTTCCCTCCCGGGGTCATTCCCCGCCCCGGTTTTGTCCCCCTGACCAGGGTTTGTGTCCCCCCCCCTGCCCCCGGGGTTCTAATTGCTCTGGATTATCCCCGCCCCAAATGATCCTCCCTGGTTTATAAACCCCTCCCTCGATTATCTCCGTGCCAAGATTTTGGGTTTATCCCTGCCCCAGGTTAAACTCCACTCAGGGTTTATCACCCCCACGAGCTATAATCCCAAATTATCCCCCTCCCTGAATTATCCGTATTTATCACCCCACGAGCTATAATCCCCCCAAATTATCCCCCTCCCTGAATTATGCGAATTTATCACCCCCACGAGCTATAATCCCAAATTATCACCTTCTCTGGATTACCCAAATTTATCACCCCCAGCGGCTATAGCCCCCCAAATTATCCCGCTCCCTGAATTATGCGAATTTATCACCCCCAGGGGCTATAATCCCAAATTATCACCCTCCCTGAATTATGTGGATTTATCACCCCCAGGGGTTATAATCCCAAATTATCACCCTCCCTGATTTATCCGGATTTATCACCCCCACGGGCTATAAACCCCCCAGATTATCCCCTCCCTAAATTATCCAAATATTTCACCCCACGAGCTATAATCCCCCTAAATTATCCCCCTCCCTGAATTATCCTTCCCCCCAGCTGATCCCCTTTTCCCGTGGTTATTTTCCCCACCGATTTCCCTTCCTCCCCCAAACCCCCGCAGTTTATCCACCCTGAAATTCCCCCCACCCGCGGGGTGATTCCCTGCCCCCCGCCCCATCCCGGGGCTTTTTGCTTTTTTTCCCAGTTTTTCCCCCTTCTCCCGCAGGTCCCGTCCCCTCTCGGGCGCTGCCGTCCCCTCCCGTGTCCCCTCCGGCGGGAGGAGCCGCTGCCGGTGAGCGGGAACGGGGCTGGGGGTCCCGGGGGGGTCCCGGGAGAGGGACTGAGCGATCCCGGGGTTCCCGGGAACGGGACTGACCCATCCCGGGGGTCTCGGGAGAGGGGCTGACCGATCCCCCCCGCCCCTCTCCCGCAGCCGCCCGCTCTGCGCCCCTGACCGGAGCCGCCGATCCCCGCGGGAGCGAGCCGGGACCCCCCCGCGGGGAATAAAGGGGCTGGGGGGGATCTGTGCGCACTGCTGGTGATGGAGGGGGGCTCGCGTGGGGCTGCGTGGGCTGCGGGAGGGGTGGCATGTGTGCCACGGGGACAGGGGTGTCACACGGGGAATCGGTGCGGCGGGTGGGGCCGGTGTCCCCAGAGGGATGCCGTGGCCCGTGGGGGGTGTCGCGTTCCTTGGGGTCCAGGGGCCGGGAATTCGTGTCCCCGGGTGTCCGGTTTTGGGGGGTCGTGTCCCACGGGTGTCCCTGTCCCGTGTAGAGTGCCCCTTGCCCCACATGTGTCCCACGGGTGTTCCTGTCCCGTATAGGGTGTCCCTGTCCCCGCCGGTGTCAGTGTCCCTGGCTGTTTCTGTCGCTTCCCCACGGGTGTCCCTGTCCCTGCCCCATGAGTGTCCGTGTCCCCTGGCTGTCCCTGCCCATGCCCCAAAAGTGTCCGTATCCCCTGGCTGTCCCTCTCCCTGTCCCTGCCCCATGAGTGTCCGTGTCCCCTGGCTGTCCCTGTCCATGCCCCACGGGTGTCCGTGTCCCCTGGCTGTCCCTGTCCCTGTCCCGCGAGTCTCCATGTCCCCTGGCTGTCCCTGTCCCTGTCCCTGTCCCACGGGTGTCCGTGTCCCCTGGCTGTCCCTGTCCCTGCCCCACGGGTGTCCGTGTCCCGTGGCTGTCCCTGTCCCACGGGTGTCCGTGTCCATCTCCGCACCCCGCTCCCCTCCCGGACTCCATTTCCCATCACGCCCCGCTGCCCCGCGGCGCGGGTGTGACGTCACGCCGCGCCGTGCCTCCCCCGCGCCGCCATGCTGCGGGCGCTGAGGCGCTGCCGCCCGGGGTCCGTCCCGCTCCCGGGGCTCGTCCCGGGGCCCGTCCCGGGGCTCTGCCCCGCCTGGGCCCCGCGGGCGGTGCCGGCGCGGGGCCGCAAGACCCGGTACGATCCCCCCGCCAAGTCCAAGGCGGGCCGGGTGAAGCTGCCGCCGCCCGTGGACCCAGAGGAGCTGCTGGTGGTGCTGGAGCGGTACCGGCAGCACCGGCTGGTGCTCAGCGCTCTCCGGTACCGGCACGGCACGGGGGTGTGGGGCCGGGCTGGGCTGGGGGGCGCGGAGCTTGTGTGGGGCAGGGAAAGGTCGGACACGGCTTGGGCTGGGGTGGTTGTGGGGCTAAGAGGGCTGGGGATGGTTGTGGGGCTGAGGAGGGTTGTGATGGCTGGGGCTGCTGGGGTGGCTGTGGGGGCTAACAGGGCTGGGGTAGTTATGGGACTGAGGAGGGTTTGGGGTGGTTGTGGGGCTGGGGGGGGCTGGGGTGGCTGGGTAAGGGACTGGCTGTGGGGCAGAGGGACAGCAGTGGGGCTGTGAGGCTGCCGTGGGGCAGGGGAAGGTCGGGGGCGGCTCTGGGTGTGGGGCTGGAGGCTGAATGAAGCGCTGGGGGGCTGGGGTGGAACAGGAGAGGGCTGTGGGACTGGCTGTGGGGCTGTGGGGCAGGGAAGTGTCGGGGCTGTGGCCGTTTGGGGCCGCTGTGAGGGGCAGGGCTGGGGTCTGGGGCAGTTTGTAACGCGAGCAGGTGGGTCTGGGGTGCTGGGGGGGAAAGGGGATGGGGTTTGGACTGGGGAGGGGCAGGGGAGAGTGAGGGTGCTGGGAGCACTGTGGGGCAGAGCAGGGTCAGGGTGGTGGCACTGGGAGCACTGTGGGGCTGGGTGCTGGGGCTCGCTCTGCTGTGGGGCTGGTTCTGCTGTGGGGCAGGGTGCTGGGGCTGGCTCTGCTGTGGGGCTGGCTGTG